AATACATATATCAATCCACGAAAATGCATAGCTATACATGAAGTCCGATAAAAAATATGGCAGCTGCTTTCTACTTTTTTTGAAGCGAAAGGATAGAAAACGTTTTTCTATAAATTTACCGATATATATATATATATATTTCAAATGGATCAGTTAAATTGTAAAAAGTAGTTAGTTAAAACTTGAAGGCAAATTTTTCCGAGCAAAAGGATGATAATGGATAATTTGTGCATCTTCGAAAGATTTTTTTGTGAAAATTGAATATATGACAAAAACCGTTACGAATGAGAAATTTAACGACGTACGGAAGTGGTAGGTTGCGTTCCAAGGAGAACTAACTATTCATAAACTGCATTGTTAACAAATTGCCAATTGTCGTCCAGCAATATTTCTAACGATTCACATAATCACGAACCAGTTTTTATTGTTTATTCAAAAGACTTTTTGAATTTAAGTTAAAATGCACCTAATCCGAGTTTTTTTTAGAAGCCTGGTTCACAAGAAATTTTATCTCTCGTAGGGTCAGGAAATTTTGTTTTGCATATATATATAAATTAAATTCAAAATATTATATGCATATATTTAAGAAGTTCATGATAAACCTATATTTACTTGGCCTTTTGCAAAGTCGAAAAACGAAAAATGAAGTGAATGAAATGTGAGAATAAGAGTCTACTTCGAAAAAAGGCTAGGTGTTTGCAAATTGAAAAGCAGATTCATAAATTTCTTTTCTTTGCAACTAAAATTTCCGTCAGTCTTTTTCTCACCCTAAGTTATCACAGTAAACAAACATTTGATTCGAAGAATAGATAACTAATCATATGTCACATTCCAATTTTCCTGTTTGTATCTAAAAGAACTGGCTTGGCCTAATAATTTTTTCTCAATCCAATCATTCCATCTTTTCTTTTTCTTTTATTATTGATCCATTGATATTAAAATCTAAAGCGGTTATCAATTGTTCATTAAGAGATCTGGAATTTCAGTTGACAGAAGGTATGCTGCATTTTGAAATGTTTTGTTAGAACTAATTGATTGACCGAGTGGTTGATGAAATTGATTGAATGAGTGATCGAAGAAATGTTCATTAGCGCTATAGTTAAAACTGAAAAGTGATGACAAGGAGATGGCCGTAGTAATGTTTGAAATGTTCTACAAATGTGAGAACATGATGAATGGTTGTTGTAGCCGATTATACGGTTGTTACTGACTGTTGTTCCTCCTCATTTTCGAACCGGCTAATTTTCCAGTTTTTGCCCTGAAATTTACGACAACGACAATGATTTTTGTGACACGGGAAAGAATCGATGGTAGTGAACGAGTTTGCCCTTCTGGCATTAACTGATGGCCAGCGCGTCGGAGACACTTTGACAACGAACCACCCAATATCGTTTTCTATCGCTTTGTTAGAGGTCGAAACAACTCATTCAAATCAAAAAAATAAAGAAGGAAAAATCATAAATTTTTACAAAGAAACTAAAATGCTTTTTAGAAACGTTCTGCGTTTTGCTTTTCACAATTTTTTGCAAGCAAATGTAAGATGGACTGAAAGTCGCGCTTTTTCTATTTCTATTATCAAATTAAAATGAATTTCCTCTAAAAAGTTGAAACTTTTGCTGATTAAACTAAGGATGATTCAAGCAAAGGTTGTTCTTCTTTATAAAAGTAAAATATTTTGTTAACATAACAATACTGGAACAAACTATAGCTAATCTAACAAATGGTACCATAGAACCATAAAATTATTTTAGGATGGAGAAGTTTAGTTTGATGTATTGCAGTATCTCAGTAATATCATGGTAATTCAATGATAATTCGGTCTATTCTAATGATTCTATAATAAAAAAGAAATAAATATAGGTAGGTCATGTTGGTTACTGTATGATGATGTTGGAAGTGTAGGTGTGAAATAGAGATGAATTGGATTGTGTGGTTTGGAGTGGGCCCATTATGAAGCGTGATACGTAAATAATGGGAAGGGTATAGAATTTGGATTTGAAAGGTATGTCGGTGAGGTGAAAGGTAAAGGGGAGATACAGCTCAAATGAAAAGAAAGGCCATTATGATGATTGAGTTGAGCTCCCTTTCAGTAATAGGTTAGAGTTGTTTCACTGAAAATGGCCATTGGTGATGATAGATATCCAATACTACCAAACAAGGACAGAGCCCCAAAATTAAATACCTCTTTAGCCTAGGTCTCCTTTTTCAATATTTGCTAAAATGACACTGCCCAAACTTCAATTATTCTACTTTATTTTCAAATTGCCTCTTCAAGCATAATCTCCATTTCAAAACATCAAATATTTTACAGTAGTGTATAAAGTTGCGCAATAAAACTACAAATGCTAGAAACGGCTATTGCAATTTCTCCTAATATATGATAAAGAGCTAAATCATACACTAGAAAAGTATCGCTATTACATGATTTAAGAAAAAAGGCGAGAGTGAGTGAAATAATTAATTGAGATTAGCTACATTGATTAACTTTTGCGTCAGAATTTTTCAAGCATTGGCCACAGTCTGTCATTTCAGTGCGATGTGTTGTTATTATATTTTGAGGAGGTAAACACGGGGTCATTTAAAACATGCTTATGGGCAAATGGAAACATTTATTAACTGCTACCGTAATCCACTTAAGAAGAACTAAAGAGCCTCCTTCTTTTTTGCATTACGTATTTTTTGGAAAATCATTAGGACTTCCGTGGGAGAAATCAGAAAACCTGATGAAAAAAATTCATGAAACCATACTTGTATTTCATAAAATTTTACGGACAATGCGATCACTTCTTGAAAAATTGTTTTTTATTATGATAGTAAAATAAGGGATGAAAATGAATGGAAAAGTAGCCAGAGGATTTCTATCTCCAAGAAAAATTTGAATACAAACTATTTTTGAGTCTTTTTTGATTATGAAGCTTTTTTGATTTATAATAATGTTTTAAATTTAATGTTTTTTGAATTAAAACAACTTGTACGTACTAGTACATTTTATCTGAAATTTTTATTCAGAAAACTTTCCGAAAATTAAAATCTTTTTAAGGATATTTATCAATTTCAAAACGTATTGATTTGCTGTTATATTATTATAATATCTGTTATACTGTTATAATATTGTTGTTATATTGTTATAATATTATCTATGGATGAATAATTCCTTCACATCCTTTTTTTTCAATCTTTTCAAATTTTTAATTAAACTTGTTGGTTTTCTCTTAAAGGAGAGATTATTATAACTGTCTAAGCATCTGAAATCATGAACAAATTTGCAGTGAAGATATTTATGAATAATGACGTTTGTTTATGCACGCTTACAGTAAATGATGGTCTGCAATGATTGCATGCATTGAATGATAAAAAGTACTTCGCCCAATTTCTCGCTGAAACCGGACAGTTAGCTCACCGTGAAATGATTGATGAGAGCTTCTGAGAGCGCCTTACCATCTAGAAAGGAGACCCCCCATAGCTAGACCAGATTCCATGTCGGCTACTGTTTTCAATCTGACCCATCATCACTGAAATCTTTGTTGCCAAACCATAAGGGTCATTATATTTATTGTCTACTAAAAAAATGATAAAATGTAATGATGTCCTATTTATTTTCACTTTCAATTCCACTGGAACTTTTTTTTAGTTTTGTTTAGCAATATAAATTTTGCTATAAAAACTCAAATAAACGCAGGGAATAGTCAAGGAAATCTATCACATTTTTTGCTTAGTTCGAATTTCGCAATGGTTGCGAGTAATGATAATGATTTAATTTTTATTTACAACTATTAATTTCAATAAATTTACCAAAACACGCAATGCTTCTTCAACACACTGCGCATTCTTATGATATGCGCAATTACTCAAAGACACTTCTAAGAATCTCCTTTTCGAAAAAGATTTTTAATCGTTGTCACAACATTTTTTTTCATCTATTTTCTCGTTAAAATTGCTGGCCAACATTACATTCCCCATTTGTTTGAACTAACCGACAATAATATCTTACCATGTTTCAAAAAAATTGAATCGTTAAGATATTTTAAGGAACTTTATATTTATTGCTGAATCTGGATAGTCGTAATTAATTAACAAGTTGAATTCAACAAATCTAACAAAACAAACGAGATTGGTCATAATTATTTTAATTGGTTTTAATTAGCCGAAATTTTATCTTTTCAAATTTATTAATCAAAGCTTTCTAAACAACGAAGAAGTGAACTTTGGTGTATAATTGGTTTCTTTTTTTCACTTTAAATTCATCTTAATGCACTCTTTATTATAAAAAGTAAGAATGCACTCTGTTAACAGCGCTTTAAAAATTTTGATATCACAGCCATAAGGTTCAGAATTCGTTGGCAACATATTCGATATTGATAAGCCAGTTCTAATTGGACAATAAATTCGTTACCGTTTGTGAATTAATTGGAGCTCAACGAGAGAATAAAAAAGATGAAACATATGGCAGATTGAACGAGCTGTTCGCTTCAGGGATTAGTCGCCCAAATCCTAAAATAATGCTAATTTTGTTCATAGCGGTATCTCTATGCTTGCGACAAGAAGGGCGCTCCGCTCCTACTACTCCCTGTATTATTGTGTAAAATCCACTGATCTGGGGATTTACAATTATAACCAAAGCTATTCTCATTTATATCTTAAAAAAAATGAGATATATAAGCAATTCTAAATGTTGCGTTGTCTCTTGAATGTTATTTACATCTTTTAAGATATAAGAATGAAAATTGTGTTGATTTCAACGCTGTAATAAAAGGATCACCTGAATTGAAATTTTAAACAAGTAAGATCCAAAATATTTCATAGCTCAAATTAGTCTGTTTAGCGCTATAAAAAATATAAACATTAGAAAATGAATTAATAAAATTAGTTCTTCTGTGTGATAATTTATTTTCTATTGAGCTAATTTGAAATGAGTAAAGAGAAAATATAATTTGAGATAATAATCAAGGAGATGAATTGTATAGAGAATAATATAAAAGGAATGCGAAGAAGTGGCAGTGACCCGTTAAAGTTAATCTTATTTAGTGCTATAAAAGGACATAGTGTTACCTTGATGTCTTCTCCCACATTATTATTGTATAGCATCAATATATAATTGGCACTCGTGAGATATATTTTCCTTACAGTGAATTATCTATCCGATAATTAATCGAAATTTGATTTAAGGAAAACAAAAATTTTCTGTAATTCTCAGGACTAAAATTTGTCAGGTGAAAATAAATTATAGTAGATAAACTCATTCATCACATTTAATCTTCATATTATATAATAAAAGTAATCTTAGAAGGCGCAAAATAGCATTACATTTTCAACATCTCTAGAACTCATTCCAGAACTTTATTAGAATTTTTCATGAATGGTATATTGATATATTTTTTGTGGATACATTTGAAAATGGCATATTTGAAGCTTCTTAGAAGTCATATGATTATTAAGTGTATTTACGACAGGTAATATTATACTTTAATCTGTTCTAGGTTAGGCACCAATTTAGTAGTCAACATGAAGCATCTTCTAAAGACTTGCTTCCAGCTTTGTGCTTTATTTGTAAATTAATTAAAAAACAATAAGAAATGTAAGCATCATTCGTCAAAAAAGGGCGACAATTGAAATTACCACTAACAGGGATTTTGACACGATTTACAATAGCCGTTTGAAGAATCAGTAATTTTGCAACATAATTTCAACAGAATATAACATGAATAATGAATTGTTGTTGTGCATTTGTAAGACTGTTTAGTCGTTTATGAAGTAATTTGTTAATTAATCTTAAAATGTTAATTCATGATTTGGTGAAATAATGAACAAGTTATCGTCTATCTTTCCTCTCTCTAGTTAGATTGTTATTCATCACTTGTTCATTTTTTAAACTTTCAACACCGAAATGAAGCCTTTATAAGTTTAAACAATAGATTATCACTGCATATCGGATCCCCTACGAAACTGATTGCAGATTCTGGACATACAGGTGTTAATCAACTCGGTGGAGTATTTGTTAATGGTCGACCATTACCTGATTCGACGCGCCAAAAAATTGTTGATTTGGCACATCAAGGAGCTCGGCCATGCGATATTTCGAGGATTTTGCAAGTCTCTAATGGGTGAAAATGCAATTTCTTTTATTTTTAAAATTTAATCTTTTATATGCAGAAAATATGACTAGGAGTGCAAACTGTTATAACTGTTATGTAATGTCAAAACATGGAAAAACATGTCCGAGGAGACTTAAAGCCTCTCGAGAATAAACGGAACTCTCTTAGCTGATTTATGGTATAATAAGATCAGACAGAAGATACATTGAATGATTGGCCCATTTATATCTATAGAATTTCAAAGGAAAGTTTTATCGATGAAATCGAATTTTAGACGTAACTTGTAAATATTGTATTGTAAATACTATAATAATTTGTGAAGAGTACAGTGGAATGGTTTCGTTCAAATTGATAAAACCATATTTTTCCTTCTGAAAACCAGGAGAAGGTTTATATTATTCGTTATGCAATACCTTTCTAGGCTTTTTATGCTTTAACAAGTTTAAAATCCTTGATCTAAATAATCTCTAGAAAAATTTATGTTATGGTGATTAAACGAAGTTAACTTTTTTCCACTTTCAGACAACTATGAAAATCAAATATTCTTTGCTAGCAGTAATTTTGCTAATGGCAAATAGCTTTAACTGAGAGTTTCCAACTTAAATTCAAAAAATTTCTTAGCTGCGTATCGAAAATTCTGTGTCGATATTACGAGTCGGGTACAATTAGGCCCCGAGCGATCGGTGGTTCAAAACCTCGTGTTGCAACAGTCAGTGTATGCGACAAAATTGAAAGTTACAAACGCGAACAGCCATCTATTTTTGCTTGGGAAATACGGGATAAATTATTGCACGAAAAGGTGTGCTCTCCCGACACAATACCTAGCGTAAGTTTTGCTATATCCAAATAATTAATATTTTAATTATTGATTTTAGGACTATCCTCAATTGTTATGTTTCTTTCAGAATTTAAGGATTAAACTTTTATGTAGCAGGTATTTCGGCTTCGGATTAAAAAATTGCAAAATCTTATCGATGTGTGTGTGTGTGTCATTCAACAAATGATTTATCATTGTCACAAGTTTTAGAAATCAATTAATCCGATTATTTTATTTCAAAAAATGCGATGTCAAGTTTTAAGGCACTCTATCTTGGATAGATGTTGGATTATGTCCTCATGTTTAAACTTATTGAAGGGCTTGTATCCAATCTTGCAAATCCTTTTTCTTTTTGAAAAATACAAAATTTAAATCACACGCTCAAATGCAAATAACCGTTATTATGCTTACCATTTTTCGAAAGATTTCAATGGTAATTAAATAAATAGATTAATTTTGAATGTAAATTTTAAAATAACATTGTAGTTAGCTATTGAATCACTTTATATTATCATCTGGCAAACAACACTGAACAGTCGTCCAACATAGATTTGGATGGTACCGTTTGCTGTCAGTACTTGGAATAGAATAATCAAAAAACAAACACAAATTTAGTAAGTTTGTTATAACTGTGATGCTTGTTGTGAAAGTTTCAATTCTCGGTCTTTCAGATAGTGATATAACTCTCAACCTATCAAATTTTAAATCAATAACTTATGGCTAATAAAGCAGTGATTTAGAAAATGAAAACTTATGATGAAAAAAAAACTTTTCGAGAAGGTTAGGGCAAGCATTTCAGTTACAATAAATAATTATTTTTCATTACTTTGAAATTATTTGGAGGTAGAAAAAATTGCTCTTCGAGCAAAACAACTGTATTCATGAATTTTTTTCATTAAAGTAACCAAGTGGATGCAGTGGATTTTATTCGTTTTACATTAATTATTTGTTATGTCACTAAAATTAAAACGGGATTTTATGGTTAAAAAATTTTTTGGTTTAAATAAAAGAAAATTTTGCATGAAAAATTATTTCTTCTATGAATTAGCAAAGTTAGTAAATGATATTTAACAGATAACCAGAAAATGTTGTGCTGATGTTACCACTTCCTGCAGCTGAAAGCATATGAAGTGCCTCTTCAGAAACATTTCAACGGATTAGTTAGCATAGCATTCGGTAAATAGTCAGACATTACTTTTATTAAGAACAGTAAATGGTATCATAAAGTTTAAGACCCTTTACTTCTTCGCTTCACACTTCTTATTTTTGGTCAATTTATTATTTTGTTTATTTGGGAAATAAAATGCTGCTGATATCGGATTTTTGAAATTCCTAACAAATCAATCAATAAAATGGCTTTGGTATCTTTTTTGTGCACAGAAGATATCAATAATTAAAAAGAATTTTAAAATTACTTTTTCAAAATTGGTGTATAAAATAAATGAAAATCAAACCACAAGATCGAGTATCTATGCTCGAGAAAAGTTAGTTCCAAAATAGGTCTCGATATTAAGTTTAAAGGTTACAACAATCTACTTTTTTTCTTTTACCTTATTTTTTTTCTACAGTTTTTCTTTTCTTCCTCTTCTCATCGTTAGTCCTATCTAAATAGCACAAAATGGCCAACAAAGCCTTCTAAAGCAGGAAAAACAAAATTAAGAATCATGAATCCCAATACAAGCTCATGGATACTACAATAGATTATTATTATTGAGAGAAACTGCATGACTTTTCACGAAAAATTAAATTCCAATAAATTTTTGCGTTGTAATGAGTGCTTGTGAATTTGCATGGTTCCATTCATGATAAAGAAGAATTTATAACAGCAATCGCTTTTTTTACCTAATAAATAGAAGTTGGAATAAGCTGAAATTTTCGGTGCTGAAATTTTTGAGATTTTTGAAACTATCAGTTCTGTTCAAAAATATCAGATCGCTGAAAATTTGATGTTGCATCAATTTGCTTAATTTCATCTCCTTTTTGATTAACTGCACTGGAAACTAAAATTCAAGAACGACGAAAGCGTATTTGTCTTTCTTCTTTCAAATGAAAAATTCGGATTTACAGAAAAAGGAAATAGGTGATTACTATAACTAATTTAAAATTTGCAACTTCGATATAGAGTAGCTGCTACATTGATAGAATTCGAATCTTCCATCCCCACTTTGTTGATTCTACTAATACTTCTGCTGTTTCTTGTTCATATTGAAGTTTGAGTAAGATTATTGTGTGATAAAATGACTATTCCAGCGCACAAATAGTCATAAAATAGATTTTTATTGCAGTTACCATGCGCTCAATCGAAACTATGCAGTTGGGAAAAAAAGACAGCTAAAATATGGGTAGTTGTGTGCATGTGCGTATTTTAAAAGTGGTGACCTCGATGGTGAGGATGACACACATGTTTCACTTCATCTTTTTGCTGATTAACATGAGATAAGCTTAACACGAGCAGTACCTTTTCAGTCCCATTTCAGCTGATGGGGAAAAATTTTTCGACTGTGATTTCATATCATGATAATGCCATCATTATGTAGCACTATATTTTACGACTATTTCAATTAATCATCAAAATGATAAATAAGCTATTTCTAAATACTGTCTTTCAAAAATTTCTAGCTTCATTGTTAAATTTTTCCGGAATGACCAATTTACATTCTTTTTTGCTACAAAAATTACCATTAAAAATGATATTTCATAAGCTGGTATATTTCATTTATACTATGATGAACGTTTTTCTATTTACAGGTATCATCGATCAACAGAGTACTGCGAAATTTAGCTGCAAAGAAGGAACAGCAAGCAATGCAAAATGATTTCTACGATCGAGCTCTGCGATACTCTTCCACCCAGTGGTACAATCAATGGCCAATGGGTGTGACTGGTGCCGTCGGTTTAGCGCAGTTGCCACCTTTAACACAGACTAATCATATTGATAAGAAGGATTCTGGTAAGCTTCTTTGGTACAGTAATTTGCCTACTAACAAAATAATTGGAAAGAATCGTTAGTTTAGTACTTCTACAAAAAGAAAATGACCATGAGGTTTGAGAAGTTTTCCAACATATCTCCAAGTAATAAATAATCAGCTATCACGACAGCGGATACCACTTTTCAAATAAACTTCTCATCAACAAATATCACATTAATGATGGTTTTTTTTTTATTCCTCTCTTCCATCATATAGTTCATAAATTTCTCTCTTGCTGATGAAAATTTCGTCACATCAATGAACTGGAAGCAATTTAATTTCAGAATATGTCGGCATGTATGTGTGTATGTCTGTATGTTGTGTACTGGGTATGTGTGTACGTATGTGTAGTATCAGTGATGCCCGACAGCGCCTGACAGATGTCATTCCTAATTAATGTCCATTCTAAACAATTAAAGTTTACTACTTTTTTTGAGTTCAATCAGCAAAGATGAAAAAGCGGCCAAAAGTGACATTCCTTCACAATTAAAAGAAGCGAAACTTTTTGTCCAGAACGCAGCAATTAGAATGTATTTTTTCAAGTAACACAAATGCTGTATACACCCACTCAGCGAATCATTTCAACTTATTTAGCATTTAGGCTTTTTTTTAAATAATTAGTAAATCACAATGAAAACAAATAATTGAAAAATGTGCAGAAATTTCAAACAACGGAGTGAGTGTTTATCAGAGACGTTGGTCAACCGTCTGATGAGGCTGAAATACTACATTTCATCTCATATATTGTTACGGTGTATTTCTAAACCATTGAAACCTTATTTTTACTTTTTACGCTCATAAATGAACATAGAAGTCCATAGTGGATGGAGAAAGCTGCCAGTAAATTAAATCAAGAAGATTATTTTGTAACATAAGTTTTATAATGCATTGCGTAATTCATAGATCAACAATCAAAATGGTTGAAGAAAATAAATCATTGCATAAGAAAAAAACTTTTTTTCGGTAAATGAAAATAAAGCTTGTGTCCACTTCGATATTTCTCCAACCTTTAATAATCCTGGTTACTTATAGTTGGTTTTTAAATAACAAAATAAAACGCTGGAAGTTATATTAAATTCATAAGTTTATTTGCACTTATACACTGTTTTCTTCAAATAATTTAAATGTATCTTAATTAGGATTTTGATTTTTCTTAATTGAAAAATAGCTATGAAGATTCTATATAGAATCATGATAAATATTTTGTTTTAATAGATACGTCAAATATTTGCACTCTTAACATAGTCACATGCCTTCAAATTGAAGTTGAAATTCATAAAATTCTGATACCAATATAAATATTCATGTAGAATTTTAAAAAGTTTTTTACTATCCATAAAACACCTCCTTATCCCGTTTACCACTTTCCCTCTTTCTGTAAATCTGGCATTTTTCTAGCGACAAAGAGGCGCCGAAAGTAAACCACAAAAGCAGCAGTTAGGGTTTTGAGGGCGCGCAGTGCAATCTTTTGATATAGATAGTTAATGACATTTCAATGCTTTGCTGTCAGTTTAAATTCTTGAATTTACCGATAAATTTTTGAAGCTTTTGCCAAAACTGCATTGGCGAGCAATGTTTATCCTCGAAATTTCACCGGTTAAAATGCGTTTCCTGAGAAATATCAACAAAGAAATTTTGATGTCTATCTTTTTAAAATAATTTAAATTTGAAGGCAAAGCCAAGAAACTAATTTTTGGTTGGCTTAAAATCCGATAAATGTTTGGAGTTTTATCACAATTCAACATTTGTATTACTGTTTTATATGCTTCTAAAATTTTTTAGCTAAATTTCAAATATAATATGAAGTTCAATCTGTGTTCAATTGAAGATATGCTAAAAAAAGCTTAAATCTTTAATAGATCATTGCATAAGAGAAAAACTTTTTTTCGGTAAATGAAAATAAAGCTTGTGTCCACTTCGATATTTCTCCAACCTTTAATAATCCTGGTTACTTATAGTTGGTTTTTAAATAACAAAATAAAACGCTGGAAGTTATATTAATCCTCACAAGTTTATTTGCACTTATACACTGTTTTTTCAAGTAATTTAAATGATGATCAGCTTTTTCAACTGGTTAAAAATTCTAAAATGTGTTTCAGATGATTAGGAAAGTTTGGATAAGAAGTTAATAGAACAACTTTAAATTACTTGAGATTGATTTATGTTAGATAAAATTCAGCAAGTTTTTCAGCGTCACCTTTGGTTTCAAGTTCAAACATCATATCTGAATTTGTGGAATGCTTGAATGTCTTTTTACGTATTCTCCACTTTTGACTTCATAGTGATGCCATTTCTAAATTTGATTTATTGGGAAAACGCTGGCAAAAAAAGTTCCAAAATGCGGATCATTTTCGGTCAAAACCCTATAAATTTAAATCTTTCCATTATTGTTTTTTTTTTTCCTTAAACGATGGTGACATTTGAAATTAGCGAACAAGAAAGACTGCTGATGGTGTTGGATTGTATTAGTGACCTTAATGGAATCTCTTGGTTGACAGCTCCATCAAATCCCACATGCAATGATATGGCATTAGATAAGACTGCACCGAACAATGCGAACAGTAGTGATCCATCACCATTGCATTCATAGTTCCGCCTTCGTCAATTCCGCGCAAAAATTGTGAAAAGCATTTTCATTACCTCATTTGCGCCTTTAATTACATATCATTTCTTTTCGATAACACCACTTATATCAACTTCAGTTATGTTTTGTATAATTGAATCTAAAGAAGAATCCAAAGAGACTCTGTAGGCGAAGTAGTAAACAACGCAAGTGAAAATAAAAACACTGCAATGGAATATGTTACAATGATTCTCTATTCAGGACATTCAATCTATTCGAGCAAATTTTACAGAAAACTTCATCCTACACCATATTCCCTCATTGCTTTGTCTATTGTCCGTAATTTCATTTATGGAAATTCCATGTCTCAGTTAACGGAAATGAATTCAGCTTTTACGAACTTAGTTCTAACTACTGTTTGAAGCAACATAAAACAAACAGAAGTTTGCAACGAACTTATTACTACTGACAAGAGAGCTGATGAGACGTCAAGTGGAAGACGTTCAGTGGATCGTGCCCATGCAGTCATAAAAGAACGCGTGTTTGTTTGTATATGTGCGTTTATGTGTGTGTGTGTGTGTGTATGTGTGTGTGTGTGTGTGTGTGTGTGTGTGTGCATGTATGTGCTTTTGTGTGGGTGCATGTATGTGCATTTGTGTGGGTGTGTGTGTATGTGAATGTGAATCACTGTTGTCATACCAGATGATGGAAACTTGTTTCCTTTCTTCCTTTAATATTCCTTAAATTTAGTCAGCATAAAATGCGTATCTGCATCCTTAAAAGCCTTTTCTTATAACTTCCCTATTTAATTAGACATTTATACTATTATTCTTCTTTCGCAAATATTCTTTGTTTTGTGTTATGGGAATTGCTGGCACATTGGGAACAGTGTTGAAGATGGTGGAAAATCGTGGTCTCAAGAAAATGGTTAAACAGCGCATTCTAGATTAAGGCTGTGCACTGTCGTTGACTCTAAGAACAGGACAGAGAAAGTGGTTTTACGATCAATTCGAATTTACGCATTTGAAGGAATTTATCAATGTTTACAGGACTTTTACAGTTCGTGTAATTTAGGCTTAATTTTTATCAGTAAATAACAACTTGATATCACTTCGTATACTTAGGTTGAAGGGGAAAAGTTTTCCGGAAAAAATATTATCAGAAAGAACAATAAATCATGAAGACTGAAAAATCACCTAAATGTCCCGAAGGTCATCTTTTTTTCCTTTGACTTACTGCAATTGCGAGAATGATTTCAATTTATTTATATAAGCCGTGTTGCTAATACACGTATCCTTCGCACAAAACTCAAAACGATATGAGAAATCGATTTTGTTATAAATGAGCGACAATTGAACAATTTCGATTTTCAAGTCAGGTTTAAGAATATTTCCGTGAACAAGATCTACATTTTAAGATATGCTTAAACACATGCAAGACTTTGTTATTATTTGAGATCCACTTTTTCTAAGAAATTTTAAAGAGTTCCGTGAATGTGCATGTGCGGGTGATCTGTCAGCTGTCACTGTAAGATGGATCAATCATGTTACCGCTAGGTAAGCCAAAGAGCCAAAGAAGTAAGCCAAAGAAGAAAAGGTCTTTGGAAATGAAATTCAGTTGATAGGATAATGCACATAGGAAATCATACTGATGATCGTTTTAGATGAGATAATTTCTTGGATTATTTCAAATTTGAGGTTTCCGGGAAATACAAGAATGAAACATGAAAAAAAAATGGAAGGAATCACAAACTTAATTTGATTGTTTTTGGGAAAATTTGCTTTCATGCTAAAAGGGAAGAGGGACGTGCCCATTAAACAATCTTTATTAGTAGGACTGCGAAAATAGGGGAAAGAAGAGGAAGAGGATGAGGAAAGGGAAGAAAGGTTAAACTGGATACATGCGCATACACCCCATCAAACACACACATATACACATACATACACACATACACACATTCTAAAATCAAACGTGGAATCTATTGTAGCAAATTGTTCTTTTATAGTAACGGCAATAAGTGGACTCTTTGCGGTTCAGTGGGATCTGCGCGTCCCACTCAGCAATGTATTTCTTCTTCTGATCTAGAATACTATGATCGACACTTTATAACACACTCTCGGCATTTAATAGCCTAAATATCAGCAGAATTTCGAACAAGTATGGGAGAGGAAAAAGCCAAACAAATTCTGTTCGATTGTACAAAATGCAATAAATCGACATTTGAAATAGCATAGGTCCATAAGAGCTACTTATGTCAATGAGAAATATAAGCGAATGGGGAAATTAAACTTGAACAGATCCGCTAACCAAGGCCATATTTAATGATACAAACGATCGTTAGAAGCATCCACTCCTTACAAAAAAATATTTCTTTTCAATTATCTCATTCAAAGTTCGCATTAATTACTGAATTACTAATTACTTAATTACTGAAAATATAAGACAAAAATTTGACATCTTTGGCAAATAGACAAATATTATATATTAAGGAATAAGCGCATGTACCCCAACAATAAAGCTGTCAAACAAGTAACAATCTTCGGATCTTAGGCGAATAAGATGTACAAGTAATCTTGCTAATACTTATATAGTTCTCGATACGGCAGAGATGCCGAGAATTGGGAGGAGGACGATCAAGACATTGTTTTCCTTGCAGTGCACGTCAAATTCAGCAAATAAATAATGGAGGGAGTGTCGAAGCGTCATATTGTAGAGACTGTTCACAACATAATTAGTGGTACACACACTTCTACAATTTGGTGCACATCCTTACGTATAGCCTATAACTTACCAGTTGTTGACGCCAACACTTCTTAGATAATATTGCTGTGTAGATTATTGGAGATCCAGATTGTTCACATCGGGTACCACTACTGTTATCGCAACGATATACCTGTGGTATTAGATTAAAAGGAGCATAGAACCCGATCGCCATCGGCGATGCAGTCAGTGAGTCTACCAGTCAGTCAGTAAGTCAGTTATTCAATCAGTTAGTCAGTCATTCAGTCAGTCACTTTCTCTCACCAAAGCAATCCATCACTGTTGTATGGGAGTGCGCCTCGTATCGTATCCATCGACCGAGAGAAGTGTATGCTGGCAAACTACCGTATTCCCCGCGGACGCCCCGATACCTGAAGCCGGAAATTATTTTTGGTTGCTTTACACGTCCCATGCGTTCTCTCTCTTTTCTCGTGCCTTTCGTCTTTTTTGGAAGAGTGAAGTGAAGTCAGATGATATTTTCAAGAGACACTTTCAGTAATTCATTGTGATATTTCCCTTCTATTCCATTTACCTGTTTTGCTCATCGCGATACGACCGCTACCATCAAACTTACATTCCTGGAACCCATACTGCTTCTACGGCAGGCCTGAACTCCGTTTGCTTATTAACGACCCCATTTCCAGTTGCTCAGTATCTGGGTCTCTCTCCCAAACAGCACTCAACCTCCATTTTCACATACCCATTACAAATGCAGAGTGAGTTTCATTCTTCATTCATCACTTATTCTTTATTATACCTGTCGAACAATTGTTCATTTAAAATTAATTTTACTTTAATTGTTCATTTAAATCCAAGTTCTTCCTTTTTAACTTCATTGTATTACATACAAAGAAAGAACTAGGCTAAATTATCCAATAACCTGAACAGCGTTGTTTACGAAGCTTTATGATTCTTGTTCAAATACATCCAACCTATTGCAATACTTGAAAATGAGAAAATTTTATGATTTATTATTGATTTGATTGAGATTCACGAAGTGTGCCAGCTAAGCATTATCAATTTTTTTTTGCTTGGAAACCCCAAATTTGTTTCGAAAATGTGGAAACACGAAGATCTGGAAGTGTTGAAATGAGTGAGAATGATTAGATATACTAGCAAGAAAGAATAATGCAGTTCTTTAAAAATCAAAAAGTTCTTGTTTTTATAAAAGGCATAAATAATTTAATTATGGTCTTGAATAAGCAATTTGGATTTTACCAAATAAAATTATCACATAGAACATATAATCGCGTATTTTAAATCGCTGATTCGATTAAGCTGTTGAAATGGAGAATCTACATATTCTCATGCATTAAGAACATCTTACATTCAAACCCGAAGCATTCAACTCCAACAACACTACTGCCACACTTATTACTATTGTTAACACTGCAATAATTATTACCATTACTGTAATTACTACTACTAACGCTGTTATAAATAGTATTGCTATTAAAATATTCATTAGGTCACCTTTAAATAGCTAATCTTTTTCTATAATAACATTTAGTTGCTTACATTTTTTGCAACTTTTCTCTGCTGATTTTTATTCTTAAATAAATCGTAAAAATCTTTAATAACTAAGTTGTTATTATAACTTTTCACTCATTGCAATTGACATAAGTTGTATTTTAAATAAATCGAGAGGAGAGAAGAGCATAAAATTTTTCCAAAATTTTTTACGGTATTTGTTTGGTTGATGGAATCATTTGCTTTTTCTAATGACAAACGGCTTGTGTATTGTAACACATATAACATTTTAGTTTCTAAAGCAGTAAAACCAATCGGGAAATTTTAAAAATAGTCTACATTAACCTCATCTTAATTATGATCAAAATACAAATTGAAACTGTAAGCAAAAAAAGCAAATCTATTTGGTTTTTTAATTTCTGATCGGTTGATATATTATGAACCTTTGATATGATACTAAAATTTTGTTAGCCATTTTCTTAATTCAATCACCAAAAATCAAATCTTCATAGTCATATTATCGCTAAAGTTTCTTTCGATTGCTTTTCCGTGATTATCAGTTTTGCACTCATACATTGTTGACTAGGAATTTCAAGCGAACTGTCAATGACTTGCCATCATAATTCAAATTTCCAGCTATTTTTCCAAAGATTTTCTTGTAGTAAATATTTTGATTTTGCTACGAAAATTTCAAGCAAATGCAGATTTTCGTTTCAAGCCACAAAGAAAAACTTTTTGCTAAAGAAAGCTAGGCTAGGTCGTGTCGTTAACTCAAATATACCACATAGAACTGATTTCATCTTTAGGAGCAGCACAAGCTTATTTTAACCTCCGTATTGCAATACCACAAATTGATTGTGCGTGAAAATATTTTCATAAGAATATCCTGAAACCAAAAATTGTGGTTTTTTTATAAACAGGTACTGATGTTGCTTATTGACTATTAAAATTTTAATGAGTAAATGATTGGGAGCAAGCAAGTGCGCTGATCGGTAGAATACTGAATGAGCGGTTGATAATTAAAAGATGAAAGCATTATATCTCGAAATGGAGATAACTGAAGTTCTATGTGGTTATAACTTCAATCCAGCCCTAACTTTCTACTTGATAGGTTATAACTCTAATATCATCGAAAATTGTTATGAAATGTAATGTGTTAAAACAATTGAGAACCAAATAGAGCAGCAACTTGAGGTATAAGGTATTAAAGAAAGTAAGTTCAATATGTGGCTGCAATTGAGGGTTTTGAATGAGATGCGTTGCGATAACAGCGATTGCATGTCCGCGATAACTATTCATATCTAATCAATCAAGTTGACACATTCGCTGATGATGGTGCTGTTACTGTCTTTAGTAATGACTTTCAACTTGAATTCAGTTCATCTTTGTATAACATTTCTGCAAGTAAAGTTTTAGAAAAAGTGAAGTGACAGTAGAACGTGACAGTAGAACTAATAAAAAGAGGTAAGTTTTAAATGCTTCCGTTGTCTCATTCATAAGCCTTTTTAGCAAAGAAATCAGTTCTAATATTTCATATCAGTTTGATAACAACAAAGCTTCTCAGTTGCTTCCTCATCAGGAAATATAATAACTTTGCATATGACTAAATTTTCCACGAAAATGTTGGGTTTGGAAGGAAGAGCAGCAAATATATGTATTTTGTCTGTTGGAGATAGAATTGATTGGAAATAATGGGCATGAATTTCAAATAAACTGGTAATGAAGTAGAAAAATGATAAAATGTGATGCAATGAATAGCATTATAGTATAACATCGATCGTTTATTACAACGGCAAGGTTTGATTCGGTTACAAGGCAGTTAGTTTGGTAGTGCGGGGCGGGGGAAAGATGAGAGGGGAGGGAAAAAGGGGTAAGGAAAAGGTATAACCCATCGAAAATCACTGATTTGCTGTGATATAGTACTTACTACCCATTCCCCAATATGAATTTGAACTTTTTACGCACGATGATCCCCTTAAACCCCCTTTTCTCCCCACCCCATCCCTCAACCTCATCCATCTTTACAACAAAATTTTGTCGCTGTCTATCGCTCGCTAATTTATGTCCATTCGCAAATATACAGAACACTTGATATTAGTTGATTATCGCGTACTTTCGATCACTTTACTTTCAAATCTTCTCTGGTTATACTTCCAAATGTCAAAATTGCGTAATGTACAACCGCTTAGCAGTTGCAGTGGAAGGAGCTATCGAAAAATTGAAGTTTGTTGGGCATCCATTCATCCTTACTACATCCAAAACCATTCTTTTTTCCTTCGAAGAACATCGAATATTGGGAGTGAATATCAGTATCATTGATTACTTCCAACATACGCAATTTTGATGTTAATTTAGCAAAAAGTTTTTTTGCTCAGGATATAAAGAAGTAAGTCAAATCTTTTAGTCTTCATTTTAAAGATTATTGGTGATAAAAAAGAATCTCGAAATCCTGATTTTAATTTTTCTGCAACATTTTATGTGATAGTGCAATAATCTACTGCTGTCATGCAAAATTACAAAATCTCCTTATATCGTCACAGTTTTCCAACTCTTAATAATCGATTTTTCGTAGTTATAATATTATAACAAATTTTGATATGGACATTTGATTCCCTTCAGAAGCTGCAAAAGCTTGGTAGTGTAGAAGCATGATAAGAAGTATTCCAGGAAATTTCAAAAAACTTCGGAAAGCATTGTAGTGGTTGGAAGCCGGAAGTTCAGATTTCCTAAGAAATGAATTAAACGAAACATTGTAATGGTTGGAATGTTGAGTATCTTTCAGAAATGTTTAATATGCGTTGGTACATCATCGAAAGACACACTATAATGAATTTTTGGACACTTCTCACAGTCTTAGCGGAAGTAACACGATGATCTGATTAACGAATATCGGCCTGCTGTGGCA